ATGTATTGTGCTGCAAAGCAAATTAATAATTATACATTATTCTAATTTTGTTATCTCCTACGTCCTTGACAACCGGAAGTCTCAGTGTAGAAGAAATGATATACAGATGTAAGATAGAAAATTAAATAAACATCCTGTGCTTCTGATTTTTAATTGGAAGTATCAGTGTGAACTTGTATGAGATTTTAATTTTATTTTAAAATAATATAGACCTTATATATGTATATATATTTTTGTACCTATGGATATGTATGTTAATCTGATAATGTTTTATGTGTATTGTGGAATAAATCAAATGAATATTTATGTGATATTTAAATTCTGACATTTTCTAGCTGTGTCTACGGAAAAGTCCCAGAAATGAACAAACCTAGTTCCCAGAATGTGGTCTTGAAAGGCTGTTTTCTATTAAAAGAAACTAGAGCTTCTTTGAGAAGTTTTTGATTCTGGGTCTGGAGCATGAAAATGTATAAAATCCTGAAACATTTCTATACTGTATACCAAGGAAGCTATCAACGAATATATGTTCATGACAAAGGAACTCAGGAACTGACTTGAAGAGGCCCTTGGGTGACCAACTATGTTAGTTTTACCATTTTACCATCAAACATCCCAAATCTTGGGAAACTTCTTAGTCTCAGGCAAAGTGGTGGTGTAGTTAATTACTCTTGGAGGCTTGCACTGGCCAGTGGTCAAAGTGGGACAATGTAAGCATGTTAGGATAAGAGGTATAATGGATTAACAGCTTTCATTATGTTTAAATCTATGAGTTTAATGGTAGCAAACAAAACAACACCCCCAAATTAATTGTTCATCACTGGTGAATATTAGGAAACTGTTCTTTCATTTTGAAAACTGATAAACCAAGGGAAAGATCAAATATTTATTTTTACTTGTTTCCCCCTAGGCAAACAAATAGTAGATGAGATAAAGTTTTGTTTTTATAGAGAAATTTTATGTGCTAGCAAAAAAAGACAAAATAATATGATTGGATTATCGCCGTTTTGCAATGTCTTATGTTTTAATGAATTTTGACATTGAGTATCAGTGGCTGCTAATGGCACAAAAAAAGAGAAAGTCACACATGTGTTATAAATATACCACCTCCTAGTGATTAATCTGGCCAAAAATATTAAACTTGAATTTGATGAAGCTGCCTACATCTAACTTCCTATTTACAGGAAATGTAGAAAGCAGAAGAACTTGTTAAACAGAATGGGAATACAGTCAGCAAAACCTGGTCTGTGGGAAACATAGGACAGGTGGTCCAGTATGTTCAACAAATTGCAATGAAAAGAGATGGCAAGGGAAATCTATGGGTTAAAAATAGGCAAAATTAAACTCTAGCAATTAGGCATATATACTTCAGTAATAAAAGTAAGGAAATGATTACTGTAAAAATCAGAATAGTAGTTTTCTTGGTTGAGGGATGGGGAAGTGGAATGGGAACGGGGGATGGGGTGCTGTGATTGGGCTTCTCTCTGGTGGCTGATGTGGTTCTTTCTCTTCATCTGTGTGCTGGTTCCTAGTTCAACTAGCTGTGTTTCTCTGAATGTGGTTTTCTATATTTGTATTATATTTAATAATAAAATTCTAAAATAAAAAATAAGATAGGAAAGGAAATTGATTGGAGAGGATACAGCTGTATTGGGAAATGGTAAGAGTTGATGCCTTATAAATTAGCTAAGACTTGTTGACTGAGAATTTTATTAAATACTATTCTCAGAGGTTTCAACAAAATCTGACGGGAGAGTTACTAAAGTTCATTAAAAAGAGAGCTGGAGTGCTGAAAATTGTATTTTTGAGAAGATAAATCTGACAGGTAGATTGCAGTAAGAGACTAGAAAGCTAGCCAAGAGACCACTGTGTTAAGGTGAAGGTGATAAAGATTTAGTAGAGGCTGGTGCTTGTAGTAATACAGATAAAATAGCAACTGCTGCTTTATACAGTAGGACAGCCAATAAGACTTGGTTACAGATTAAGTACGATTGTTACAAATGAAAACATTAAGTGGTTATCTATAGGCTGTCATCACTACTGACCACACTCAGGCTTCACTGATTCTGATCATCTCTAGAACACACCAGACTTTCTTCCAGCTCTGTCTAGAAGTATATTTTAAAAAACAGACTTGATATAGATGTGTCCTGTTCAGATAAACAAAACCTAAAGCAAAAACCTATATTTTATAGTATGCACAACATCCTTTTCCTCAGTTATATTTTTTACACAATAAAATTCAGTAGTCATTTACTTATTTTACTTTAAGCCATTTTTCTAAGCTGTGCTTTTTTTTTTTTGAGTTGGAGTCTTACTCTGTTGTTCAGACTGGAGTGTAGTGGCAGCCTTAACCTCCTGGGCTCAGGCGATCCTTCCACCTCAGTATCCTGAGTAGTTGGGACTACAGGCACATGCCACCACCCCTGACTAATTTAAAAAAAATTTTTTTGTAGAGACAAGGTCTTGCTATGTTGCTCAGGCTGGCCTTGAACTCCTGGGCTCAAGCAATTTGCCTGCCTCAGCCTTCCAAAGTGCTGGAATTAAAGGTGCCAGGCGTAATGTGTGTTTTAAGTTTTTCAAGAAATTTTACAGGTAAAATCTTAGAAGAACCATAACATTGTATACTTCAGTCTCTCAATGATATTTTATACTTTCAATGAAATAAAACTTTCATTTATTCTACTACAAATTTCAGATTTGAGTTGGAGCCTAATCATTTTCAGGCTGGGTATGGTGACTCATACTTGTAACCTCAGCACTTGGGGACCCTGCAGTGGGAGGATCACTTGAGCTCAGGAGTTCAAGACCAGACTAGGCAACATAGCAAGACTGGATTCTACAAAAAATAAAAATAAAAACTAGCTGGGCATGGTGGTACTTGGCTGTAGCTTTACTGCTAGCTACTTGGAAGGCTGAGATGGAAGGAGCACCTGAGCCCAGGAGGTCAAGGTTGCAGTGAACGGTGCTCATATGCTGTACTTCAACATGGAAGACAGAGTGAGACACTGACTAAAAAAAAAAAAAAAAAAATTATTTTCAGTACTAGATAAAGGAAAATGGGATAAATTGTCTTACCATATATTTTCTGAAATGGTTTCATGTTTTCTGCAGAGTTTGTAAGCAGTTATGGACAAACTTCTGCGGTTAGTTCAATTGTAACAAAATATGTTTGTTTAAGAGTACTATGCTTGTAAAAAACTATTCACATAAATGTTTTTCTTTGAGAGTCATTCAATAAAACTTGCTTTTATTGAAAAATAAAATAAAGACATTAGAAATAAACTCAAAGATGGCATGTTTTAAGGGCATTCCCTTTGTTGGGTAGGATTAGAGAATTCTGAAGGACATTCTAGGTGATCATGTTAGAGTAAGATCTGATATTTTTTCCTTATGATGTATTTAGAATCTCAGAGGAGTGGTTGCTAGTGATTCTATATTCCAATTTGTTGATCTAAAAATACCAATTCTGACAAGCAAGAAACTGATAACAGTGGTTGTTTTTGTTAAGTGCATAGCTGGGACATAGAGATACAGGGGTGTCTTTGTGATGTTATTCCTTTTTATCTCTTGAATTTGAATCATGTGCTTGTATTATCTGATCTGAAAATAAATAGCATTTAATTAAAAGATAAAGATATCCAAATCATCAGTTTTCAGGGGGAAATTTTTTTAGTTTTTTTTGTTTTTTTTCTAGCTTCCTACTCAGACTTCAGCTTTATAGGGGAAATTCTTATTATTTTATTGCTTTAAGTACTCGTTTTTAAGGCTAGTTTCTCTGAAAAGCAGTCAAACATGTTTAACTTACATGCCTTTGACTTACATATGTTTGTAAACATTGTATGTTTGTATGTTTATGGTTATATGTGTGTGGTGTATGCATACATGTTGTGTGGCTTGTGGCTGTGTATGGCTCTGGTGTGTGTATGAATTTCACCCATAAAAGAATGTTTGTAGCTGGAGGCTTATGGACCGAATCTTCCCAGAGCTTTCAATTCTTATTGCCATTTTAGGATCTTTCTTCTTTCCAGAGGAGTTGTCCTTGCTTCTGAACTAGTCTCAGGGCCATTCAAAACTGGTAGTGATGTAGCAGCATAGACTGTCTCTTTCCTTTGTAATCACCGCTGAGGCTGAAGATCACTACATGTTGGTTATTCCATCTGTTCTACACCTCACTCTCCTCCAGGCAACTGCTGTGAATTCAGCTTCTGTAATAAAGTGTCGCATGAATCTTTGTTTCTTATCTCAGCCTTTGCATAGCTTAAGACCTATATTAGATCTGGGAAAGAAAAAAGAGTAGGAGGTGACATGAAAGTATGTGAAATAGTTTTATTTTTTTTGTATACTTTCTTTTTTATAATTTGTTAGTGATAACAACCATTAGGAAAACTGGTGGGGTATTCTTATCCTTTAAGGATGAGCAAAACTGGGAGAAGTTTTAAGACTACTGTCACAGGGACCTAGGAAAGAAACCAGGTTTGGGAATGAAAGAAGGCGGTAGTAGGCAGCTAAGCAGCCTCGTACAGTGGTTGTCAATCTTTGCTGCACATTGGCACCACCTGAGGATATGTAAAAAAATAACGTGCTTGGTTTCCACCCCCAGAGATTTTTTTATTTAATTGGTCAGAGCTGTGGGCTGGGCATTGGAACATTTTGAACCCACCCCCTTAAATGTTCGGTCAAGACTGAGAACCACTGGTCTAGAGAAGTAAAACTGGTTCAGGACTGAGAATAATACTTGGGTCTCACAGTGCCTCAATCCCAAAGTCTCTCCATTTGGGATAAATTGGAGTTTATCGTAAAATGTAAATATAGTACTTCTGTGTGTTCCCTAGAAGATTTGATGCTTTTAAAGACTTGTGATTATTTAGGTTTCTGATTGGTGGGAAACAAAAGCATGAGTGAATCTTTAGCATCTGGAAAGAATGGCTAGATCCACATATTAACAGTGATAAAATTTCATGAATCAACTATACTTGTTTAACATTGTGATATTTGCACAGGTTGCCTGTGATTTGCTTCGGAGAATTATTCGCATCTTGTATCTCAGTAAGAGACTCCAAGGACAGCTGCAGGGGGGAAGTAGAGAGATAACAAAAGCTGCTCAGAGTCTCAATGAACTTGGTAAGTCCGTTTTTGATTACAAGGTTAGTAGACGTTTAAAGATTTTTAAGTCATTTGATTTGTTGACTTTTCTTATCACCATTAAGAAATACTATTGAGTAAATTTTTAAGATAACAGGCTGTATACAACATTGTCACTTTTCAGAATGGGTAAAATCAATTGATTTCTTGAAAATGCTGTTTAATTGTCGTACAGTAAAATTGGCCTGTTTTCATGTAACCACCACAGAACATGATGCAGAAAAGTTCCATCATTCCCCCACCCCTGCCCATACTCCCTCATTATCCCTTCGTGATGTCACTCACCCTCTTCCCCTAACCCTGGCAACCACTGATCTTTTATCTTTTCTCCATCATTGTAGTTTGGAGTTTTTGCAAATGTCACATAAATAGAATTATAAAGTAGATAACCTTTTGAGGCTGGTTTCTTGTATTTAAAATAATACCTTTGAGATTTATCCAAGTTTTGAGGTATACCAATAGTTTGTTACTTTGTGTTGATGAAATACCATTGTAGGGATGTACTGCAGTTGATTTATTGATTGACTGGTTGAGGACATTTGTTGTTTTCAAGATTTTAGTGATTGTGAATAGAGCTGCTATAAACATTGTGTGCAGGTTGTGTAAAGTTAGCTTTTCTATTCTCTATGGAAAATACCCTGGAAAAAATGCTGTTTTTTTTAGATGACAAATCTCATGTTGATATTATGCCTAGAAGATTTAGGTAATTCATTTTTTGTTTATTATTTTCTCAGACATTTATTGCTGGCCCTTGACACTCAAGGGGTGTAATGCCCATGATGTTGATGATTAACAAACTGCAAGGTCCATGATGCAGCCTTCCTTAATTTTTCAGGCAAAATTTTGAATAGTTAGCGAATGCACGTAGAACTGCCCAGCACCTTAATTAGGCTTTGTGGGTTTTTTTCATTGAGTATCTAGCAATTTTTCTGAGGTGGATATATTTAGTGGTATTTGTGTACTTTTATAGGTTCTGAAGTCTTTGGTTATATTCATCTCAAATATCAAATCTGACTTTTGGTGTTGTGATTTGAAAGTAGTCTTGCCAAAATAATATCAGAAAAATGTGCATTACTTGTTCTTTCTGAATTTTGCTATCTTTTACTTCTCAGTTATATATAATTATGCTACATTGTAATGCTTATGTTTTTTACTGATCAAGGAAATGTAATATCCTTCACAAATCATGTTTCAACAACATTTTATGTGTATAATTCTCAAATATAGGTTTTACTGAGGTACATTATTGGGAATATATATAACTTGTAATTTGTTATGTTTGGAATATATTATATAACAAGTTAAATTTTTAAGTCAGGTGTGGTGACTCGAAGGCTGAGGTGGGAGAATCACTTGAGGTCAGGAGTTTGAGACCAGCTTGGGCAACAGAATGAGACTTTGTTTCCAAAAAATTAAAATTAAGATGAAAAAATTAACCAGATGTGGTGGCTTACGCTTATAGTTTTAGCTACTTGTGATTTTGGGAGGATCACTTGAGCCCAGGAATTTAAAGCTGTAGTGAGCTGTGATCACACCATTGCACTGCAGCCTGGGCGATAGAATGAGACCCTGTCTCAAAAAAAAGTTAACATTTTAAGCAATGAGTAATGCTTGAGTGTTGTTTTCACAGTATGTTCTAAACATAGGAGTGTAATAATTCTAGTATCAGCTGTTATATTTTGCTCTATCACATTTAATTCTATGAACCAAAACTAGTTTGTAGAATAATAGAATCACTGACACTCCTTCATATTAAAAAATAGCTAAATTTTGATTATGATTATCATCTTTTCTAGAATCAACAGACCCTGTAATACAAATGGCGATGTCTTTTTTAAAAAATAAAGATGGGCAGAAGTATAGATCATAATGTTCTGAGTTGGTACAAGGCAGAGTGTAAACTATTATTCTTTCATTCTGGTGTTAACTTTACCCAAAGTTTCTTATAAATATTAAATGTTAAAAATGTGATTGAGAAAGTTAGTTCATGGTGAAATTATTTCAAAGTAGATTGTATTAACTTAAAAATTTTCCCCTCTGTTTCCTGGACTGGAGTGCAGTGGCATGATCACAGCTCACTGTAACCTCAAACTCCTGGCCGAAAGTGATCCTCCTGCCTTGGCCCCCCAAGGCATAATTTAAATTTTTAAAGCTTTGCCAATTACAAGTATTTGATTTGCAAAGACGTCTTCTCTTTATCATTTACCACTGTGTTTGAATGTTGACTAGTCCTGACACTGGTAGCTAATGAGGTGAAACCAAGAGAAAAAGAAAGTTTCTACATTTGGAGTTAGTATTTGAATAAAAGCAATAATTTGCCAGTCACTATTGCAATTGCACATGTACACTAAGTGACATTTCTATGGTTGAATCATCTCCAAGATGGTCAGTGGCTTTATCAGTATGACTGTGGTTCTGCCATCCAAGTACTAACCAGGCCCTACCGTGCTTAGCTTCTGAGATCAGATAAGATCGGGTGTTCAGGGTGGTATGGCATAGACAGAATTTCATTACAAAGAATAAAATGATCAAGAGTAGCGGTATTTATACCACAGGCCTTAAAGGTTAACTTGTTAAGAAGCATTTTCTCAAACTTGGAAGGTTCTGTGGCTTGCATTGGGATGGCCAGGTGAAATAAATTGTCATCTGAAAATCAACTGTGTTCCAAGGCACTGGGATAGGGGAATGACTGCTAGTGGTACAGATTTCTTTTGGGGATGATAAAAGCGTTCTAGAGTTAAACAGTAGTGACTGTTATGCAACCTTGTCAGTATACTAAAACCACTGAATTATACACTTTAAAAAGAAGTATTTCATGTTAGGTAAATTATATGTCAAATTTTAAAGTATATTCTGGATACCTAGTGACAATTATAATCATATCCTATTTTTTTAAAATTTGAGGTGTGTGATATCCAATAAGCTGTATATGAGAGGAGACCAAAAAATTCCCAGAATTTATTTATAAAAGCATGTGCATTCTTGCATGTTTAAACTTCAGTCACCTTCAAAAGTACTCTTCGTTTGATGCAATACACCTATGGAGACAGTTTTCCACTGCTCAATTTTTTTTTTTTTTTTAGTCAGTAAGTATTTATTGAGCAATTCCAGTCCTAGGCACTTTCTGAAGCACTGGGGATATAGCAGTAAACACAGAGGCCACACCTGCCCTCAGGCCTTTCTCTTGCATGTCAGGTATTTTATACAGCAGCATTTCCAGGTCACCTGGGCTGCTCTGCTGCCACCTTACTTTCCATTATACTTTACTCTACATATTTAAAATGTAGAAGTTCTATGTTAATACATTAGATACTAACCAAAAACTTTGTATTATTAGATGGTAAAACAGATGTCCTAATCCAGTATATCATTTAAGAAAAGCAAAGATGGATTAATTTAGTTTATAAAGATTACATTAAACTATTTAGTTTGGTTTTAACATTAAGCAATATATATGTAGACCATTTTTATTTTAAACAAAAATATGAGCTTTATAATTCAGCATCATTGAATTAAAAATACACTTATCTGTTGGCACCACATCTGTGAGGGGTCATAGAAGAGGAGGGCCTCTGAGCTTGTCCACCTGGGGCATCTGATTTACCTGCAGTGACTGCAGTATTGTCTACATAGACAGTTGCCGTGATCAACAGCAGAAACTTTTAGATCCTCCTGACCTACTAGAAGTTTCATTTTCCTTTATTGTCCCTTTTTACTAATGGAATATTAAAATGCTTAGCTTGAATGCCAACATCACTTCAGTGTTACAACACAAAACAAAATATAAGCGTGCTGTGGCAAAAGTTTCAGTCTAAAATTATTTTACTGCCACACAACTACATACAGTCATATACATTTGGAGACAATTTTCACATGACACATAAACTAGGAAAATAAATACTTCCCTTCATCACCCAATTCCCAATGGTTTGATTCTAAAAACCATCTCTTGCTCACTTACCAAAGATTCTGACTATACATCAGACAAATTCCTCTTGATTTCCCTATTAAGATAGTTTATCAAAACAGTTACGACTCTCACTTGTTTTTTAAGGCTGAGACATCAGTTTTGACATCACAACCACCCTCCCTGTGTCAGTGTTCTGAAAGCCCTGCCCACATCCTCCCTGACAAGGGGTATATCCTGTACTTCTGGTTGCAGCCAGTGGTGGTCCTGAGGTCTAGAGCAGCCCGGGTGGGGCTCCCTGGGATCCAGTTCAGTGGGCATGTGCTACCTAAACAGTCAGGCCTCAGGCCCCCCAAGGAACCCGGTCCCATAAGCAGCCCCAGCTCTTGCAGGTGGCAGAGGAAAAGGTGCTGCTGTGAGAGATGGAGGAACTGAGCTCTGAGTGTGTCTGTCTAGAGGATGAGTTAGATGAACTCCATGCTGAGATGGAAGAGATGAGAGACAGTAACTTAGAAGAAGATGTTTACTGGACCATCAAAACAATTTTTGAACTTGTCAATTTTGATGCCTTTTAGTACTTCTGCCGTTTATTGTTTCACTTCTTCCACGTCGGCAAAACATTTCTCTTTGAGACTTTTTTCATCCAGAAAACAGCAAAAGGTCGTTCAGGGTGAGATTAAGTGAATAGAAAGGGTGGGGCAGGGGATCATGACGTTTTTGGCTAAAAACTGCTGAACACCCAGCACTGTATGGGCAGGTGCATACATAAATCACCCATCATGAAATGGGCAAATGTGTTGAAAGAATCTCCAAAAAAATTTCACTGAAGGGAAATGCAGCCTCTTACAACAATGCTTGCTAGTGCACTGATGTCATGGGTTCCTAGAGCACTCACCTAGCTGGGGAAACGTGCTACAAGGTGCCCACTCTCCAAAAAATAATTCTGGGTTTTTTTTTTGGGGGGGGTCCCCCTTTGTATATTGCAAATACACAATTTAGTAAGTTTTGACATAAAACCATTACCAATATCAAGATAGTGAATATGACTATCACCCTCAAAAGTTTCCTCAAG